CGACGGGATGATAACGATGACGCTCAACTTACAGCTCAACTATAACATAATATAGAGACATATATTAGGGATCTTCTTATACCGTTTCAACACCAATAATAACAACAGTGTTAATTCAGTTCAATCGCACATACACATACACTCAGTCAGTCACTCACACACATATACACATACCAATAATATGTCTATACCTCTATATATTTAGATGAAATACATCAATTCTTTTCCTTTTTTTTTGCCATCTTTGCAAGATATAAATGACACTAAAAAAAAAAACAAAAAAAAATTTTTTTTCTTTATCAAAAGGCTAGCAAAACTAAAAAAACCGAAGAACACAACAAAAAAAAAAAAAGAAAAGAGAACCGGTTGACCAAAATTGATGATGACTATGTGAGATCTGCTGCCGTTGAGCTGTGTTAGCGCTGACGAAGCTAAAACTACTGCTGTCATTGTTGCTGCTATTGTCATTTAATGTAATGTTTGAAAAAAAAAAAAACTGCAACAGAAATTTGATGCAAAAAAAGAAGGAAAAAAATGAATATTTTAGAATTAAATATATTCTTATTATAAAAGAAGACAGAAAAATAACAACAACAAAATTAGATTTCCCCTCTTCTTATTCCTCAATAAAAAAGTGTTAATGGGTAAAATCAAAGGAGGGGAAAAAATGAAAGCAAAAATCGAACATTCAAATGTAAAAAATAAAAAAAAAAAAATGGAATAAAATTTGATAGAACAAAAACGATAGGTGATAATAATACTACAAATAATATATTATATTTTATTTCATTTTACTTCATTTTTTTTTTCTTACCATTTATAAATGTAAAATCGTATACAGAAATGGCAGTCAATACAATGTGACTTTTTTTTTTTTCTTTCAAAGTTTATCCACAACTTTTTTTTTTTACTTCTCCAATTTGTCGCCATTCTTTTTTGCCCTTCACAATACCAATATCATTGTCAAATTCAAGCATACAGAAAGACGACAACTACAGCAACAGAAACAACACTGAGAGCAAAAATAGGAGCAGCAGTAGCAATAGTAACAGCAGCAGCAACAACAACAACAACAATGACGACATGACTGGAAAGCAACAGCAACCAAACAACGACGAACCACCAAACGAACAAACGGCTTCACTCACTGACTCAATGAACGATTTATGAGAGTGGGAGAGTGAAAGGGCTGCTAAACCACGTAGAAAACCTACAACAACTACTATGGAGAATAACTACAGTAAAATCAAATATAAAAGTTCACTGCCATGTTTGCTGCCACTGATGCTTCAACTGCCGATACCGCTGTTAATCAATTATAATTATATAACATGTTACTGAAATATCACATCAAGTAACCAGTAAATTTTTCTGTTCTGTTTTACTTAAGAATTAAAAAATAATTATCCATCACTTCTCCTACCTAACAACGACCATAACATATGGCATCTGGAGATTTATAACTCATACTGATGAAATCCATCCACCATAATTCGAACCTTTGATGAATATAACGAAGACTTAATTCAATAGCATCAAGGACACCCAACTCCTGTAAGCTTCTTCAAAACAACTCGACCTTCTGGAGATACGCTAAGCGCAAATTGGGCTCACGAAACGCACTTGAAACGCCACGCAACACGTTCGCTCAAATGTAGATATTCCAAACGAGAACACTCTTGTTCACGGTAACAGCGGCATTTTATACTTCCATCTTTTTACGCAAACAGCTGAGAAGCCAAATTCTTACTGTATGCGGTTATTTGAAATGCTCTATAATGGCAAATATGTCATCTGAAAACTTTATTGAAGGCAAAATGACTTAACAAGTGGTTTAAGACAAAAAGGAAAAACAATCAAAACAGTAACAAATAAACATCAGAAGGCACCACCAGAACAATCAAAAACAGAATACTACAAAAACAAGAACCAGAAAAAAGCTGATTTTATAAACAAATTAAAATTTGGATAAATAAATAACTCGTTAACAGAGGAGCTTCCCGACTGATCACCGTAAGCATATTGTCTAAAAAAAAGGTACAAAAAATTACCAAAAAGCTACATTAAAATGGTCTCAAAAAGGACGACCCTCAAGCTGCACACATTTTCCAAAACGTCGTGAACGACTCTGTAAAAGAACGACTGTGTCGGCGAAGAACGCGGTTATACCAACCTCTAACGAAACTTTTGAGAAACAACAGATGTGACAAACTCATTCATAAGCATTGCACAAATATTACCTCAGTGCTACCTACCACCACATAAATTATAATTAACAAGAACAGAAATTGTATAATTACGACCTAAATAACAATGAAGTAAACGTCAGTAAAAAAAATAAATAAATTGAAAAAAATAACAAACAATGAAGTGGACGAATCAGGAGACATTGTCAACAACAGAAATTGAACAGTGACGTCATAAACCAGGTGAGACTTAAAGTTCCGACTTCTTCTTCTTCTTTTTACTACCGTCACGAGAATAGCCCTTCAAACCGTCAGTTGAATGTTCGGCGATAAATTTAATGAAATCATTTACTTCACGCCCACCGCTATACGGAATTGGCTTGTCCTTCGCATTTTTAGGAACCCAGTATAACGTAGGGAATCTAAAACAATAAATAAAAGACTCAGTTAGAAATGACAGATGTGTGACGCCTGCAAAAATGAACAACAATGCCATGAAGATTAACAACAAACCGCCATATTCCAAGAATTTAAATAATTGAACCGGTTGGGTTAACGCGTCAAAAAACATGCGCAAAAAGTAAAAAGATGAGACTAAAACCTGGCTCTAGAAATCCATTATAAACTTTTACACCGTCCTTCCTAACCTCTTGACAAATAAAACGGAAGCGACTAAGCAGTGGAAAAACTAAACTGATGCAAAAGTCTTATAAGAGACTACCCGATTTTTCCTATATCATAAAATAATGTAGAGTCAGTATTGAAATAAAAGCCTAGTGGAGAAGAGAATTGTTCTGCCCCACGCAAACTTTTATCCAGCAAAACAGATAACTGAACGTAAAAATGAAGTCAGCAGTAATATGCCGCCTATATCCCGCGTACATATTGCCACTACTGTCCACAAAGTATACAACCAAAATGTAGTCAATATCCGTCCCTGACTTGAACTTCTTAAAGAGAGAAAATTCAAAAATGCCCCTCAACTACGTAACAAACCAAAAATTTCAAAATTCAGACAAACATTCAAAACTGCACAGTTTTACTGAACATTTGACGTATTGACTTCATTACAAGTAAAACCTAAATAAAAAAATAAAACCAAGTTTAAAAACACAAGACGGTGTAGCTCACTTACCCTCTAACTTCAAACGGTGGGGGTACATCATTAGCAGTTGCATCCATTTTCGCAATCACAACATCCTCCTTGGCCATTTTTCCTCCAAGTTCATCATATTTTGGTGCCAACTGCTTGCAATGACCGCACCAAGGGGCATAGAACTCTAGCAACACGTCTTTATCAACATCGACAACCATTTTCTTGAAGGAGCGAGCAACTACGACCTTGAATAATCATTACAGTTAGGGTAAAAAAATTGTGTGAAAAAAATGTATGAAAATAGCTAAACTACGCCACAACCTTAACATCTCCTTGAGTTTCAGGTTCCTTCTCGCTCTTCATATACGGCTCCAGTTTACCGCCCAAAACGTCCTCTACGAACTGTTTCAAATTCTCAACACTAAATACAGATTCCATATTGAAAGCCGTTTTGTAAAGAGGCAGTGGATCAAAATTGAAAGGAATTCCATGTCATTAGAGCAGAAAATTCTTAGAAAAGAGGCAAGGTAATAAAACCCCATCACCAATTAGGATACTGAGAACTTGCCTGAACTCTTTATTCATAGGGAACTTGCCTTCCTTGGTTTGAGCTGCAACAAGGGGCTTGTCGCTTTCCTTACGATCTCCAAGACCATATTCCTCGACTTCCTTTAAATTTTTTTCCAAAAAGTTTTCATAATTCTTTGCAGAACTAGTTGTAACGACATTGTAATGATAGAGAAAGGCAGAGTGACACAAGACGAAATATACCGTTAATACAGCTCTCAACCCCCC